AACGTACCTTAAAATATAAAGTCAAATAATATGATAAACTTAAACTTGACAAAATAAAAATATATAATTTATTTATTTATTTATTTATTTATTTTTAAGGAGAAAGAATTGTAGATTAAGGCAGCAGAATAGCAATAAGATGGTAGTAGCAGGCAGCGGCGAGCAGTAGCTGCAGGCAATGGCAGACAATAGCGGCAGGCAATGGCAAGCAATGGTGGGCAATGGTAGGCGATGGCGGCGGGCGGCAGTGGCAGTGGCGGATTTAGCGGCAGTTCAGCTTCTCTTTGGCAGCAATTTGGGGCGCAGCTTAGAGCAGGGAGCAAGCAGAGGGTGGAGTTGGGTTGGATCAAGTATTCAGAGCAAGCAAGGCAGAGAGTAGAACAAGTGCTCTAAGCAAGCAGCTAATGTGTGAGGGGCCAGCAAGAAGAACAAGATCATGACCTAAACACTAAGCAAGGGTAGTAACAGGTTTGAAGAGTCAAATACTAGAGCAAAAAATTGTCATAGTGTGTAGAAGAGAATCATGCTGATAATGTATTGAGAATGTTTAGAAAGACATAAGAGTAATAGTAAGTCATACACACACACAAGAGTAGTAGTAAGTCATACACACAAGAGGGTTTCTAAGGAGAGAGAGCTTCACATACACACTTGTATTGATTTAGTTGTGTCTCGTATACAAGAAGAGAGAAGATAAGAGGATGAACAGTACTTCTCCACTAGATTCTAAATACTGTAGCTACAGTAATTACTGTAGTCTACAGTAAATATTATGGAGAGTGTCAACTACATTTAATGATTTCAACACATACAATCCTATAGACTGCTACAAAAATGATAATTTTATTAGTATAACATCTAATAAATAACAAGCCAAGTAACATCTAGTTCATCACCTTTTGAAGTCAAATGGTGCATTCTTAAGGCAAAATAGAAGAAACTTCTTCTAATAGAGTTGATCTTTGTCATCTTAAACAACTCTCTAAAATGATGTCTTTACATGGTCTATAACAAGTAATAGTAAGGGATGATAACCAAATCTCAAGTCGAAAGTGATTAATACTTGAAAGAATCTTACTATATTAAATAACTCTTTTAGCATTGGCTTTGGATATCAATCAAATTTGATCTTATAATTAATTAGATGATAAAGTCTAGATTTTTTTTTTTTTTTTTTTTTTTTTTTTTTTAACTGCCAAAAACATCTTTCTTTGATATTTGACATACTTACTATTAGAAAGTTTAGTGAAGCGTATAACTAATAATACTTCATAATAAGTTTGGACGTCAACTTTCTTTGAGATACTAAGCATGTAAAGTTGTGAAAAGATTGGACAATCATCTTTCAAGTGCATGAAAATGTATATAGTCTTTAGGGTCTTAAAGACTATAGCAAAATAATTGTGACACAAGCAAATAAAAGTCTATACTTTTTGTACTTTGATACTAATAAGATGCGGCCCTAATTCCAACAACCAATCATCAAACTTTGTGGTCTCTTCATTTATTAGTAAAATACCACTACATATCAAGACAACCTTTAATTATTAATTTGTTAAAGAAAACAAATCCTATGCTCCAAACATCTTTACTTATAGATAAATGAGGAGCTTCATTACCATAACATTTATATAAATTAGCAATGTTTGTTGGACATGAATTATCATTCAAAAAAAAAATCTTATGAAAGAATCTCTTGAGTATTTGTTATTTCCAAGTCTTTGGCTAAAGGAACAAAGACATATTGATCTTATAGCTCTTCAATTGCATGCCACTTTGAGCAACAAAATGATTTAGATTTCTTAAACTTAATGAGTTTAGAATCCATTCCTTCTACACTATTGCTTTCTAATATCAAAGCAAACAAATGATCATTGTGATGTTTTTAAAAAGAGCAATTGTAATCACGTGAAACAAGGTCAAGTTGGTCCAAATTTAACAAGATTAATATGTATATGAGTCCAAAGCCACAACCTCAACAAAGGTTAGAAGATTAAGGAGTTAGTGAATATATTGGCCAAATTCTAAAAGTTGTATTTGAGTGTCACCCAATTAAACCACATTCTCATAAATGTACATATGTGGTGTGATTCTATGCATAAACCACTATTCTATGAGTCACATCAAATCTATAAATAAATTAGATCAAGGATCATGTAAACCTTAATTAATTGTAACACATGAATGACCTTTATAAGGCCATTTAACAATTAATAAATCAATATAGCTTAATCTCCTCAAATCCTTATTATTAATGACGATGATATGTTAGGAAAGTTGGCTAAAACAACCAAGAATGATAGAAGGTTGAAATTTCTTAAGATACAAAGCTAATAACCTTTGGATGTAATGTAAAGTTCCTTGTTTAGGTGTAATTAAAGTATATACATAAATCTATTGCCTAACAATAAGTTTAACCTCTAATATTATTGTCAAACTTGTAGAAATGCCTTCAAAGAGCTTCACGAGGATAATAGTCACATTTGCGAGGTACCAATAAATAGATTGATCAAAGACAAGTAAAAACAAATAATTTGGTATCTTCAAAAAATCTTATGAATATACAATCTCTTCACATCAACAAGATAGTTTTGCACATATTTTATATTAAAGAAATAGATCCTGGCACTATCTTGCATAAATTTTTAAAGATAGAAAATTATGTGGTTCTACAAAATTATACATAAATGTTAATATTTCTTCTAATAGAACTAATCCATAAGACAAGTTTGATATTGTTGAGAGAATAACCATGATGCTATTGCACCAATGACTTCTTGCAACATATAGTGATATTTAGATCTTGATATTTTATTATGTCATTTTTGTGTCGCAAGTTCTGCCTTGGTCACCTTGCCTTGTTAACATTTAGTAACTCACCTTACTTTATGTATAATAACATGTCAATATATATAGAACCTATAAGTATTGACAAAATAATATCTTGAGTTTGTATATTGTAATATATTTAGTGTATCAAGACCAATATCTCTTTAATGCATGCAATATCCAACACCTCAATAATACTCTAGTACTTAGATACCACAACAAAAAAAATACAAGAACATCCAAAATTTTGTAAAAGAGAGATTTTTTTTATTTTATTTTTAATCTATTCTATTTTCATTTATTTTATGACAAGTTGAAGATAATGAGACATTCTTGTCAAGTGAAAAATGATGAATCTACACACAAATAAGTTAAGCTATTTCTTAGAGCACAAAAGGAGAATTCAAGAGTATAAGTGTAAATAGAGAAAAATCCTAAAATTTTATTAATATGCCTAAATTAATATAACCAAAAAAATTCTCATAATACAAGCTTTTTTTCTCTGAAAATCACTTACAAGATTTGACTTGATAAGAATATCAAGTTAAGAGAAGTTCTTCACCTAAGGCTTCAAATCCTAGTTAATTCTAATAAAATCAACTAACAAAAAAATTAAATGGATGAAAAACTATCAAATTAAACTAAATTACATACATCTAATGGGATTTGATATTCAATGCCACATCATGTGATAGTACTAAAATAAAATATTATATATTAAAATTATTTTTTGTAAATATAAAAAATATTATAATATAGAAGAAGAAAAAAAATAAAAATGATTAGATAGAAGGTGAGATCAAGAGAGGGGGTTGGACTTCTACCTCTTAAATTTGATTAGTAATACATGTTGGATATTTGAGCCACAATAGTTTTTTTATTTTCTATTTTTATTCTAGCAGTTGTATTGCAGCAAAATAAAATATAAACATGTATTTTAATATAAATAAACAAATAAATAAAAATCAATGTGCATAGGAGCTACAAAATACAATTTACATACATTATATAAGTGTACCATTGCAATGCTTTCTTACTAATTCTATTATTTTGAAAACCATTTTCCAGTATTAAAAAAAAAAAAAAAAAATTAACAGCTTCAAAAACACATTCTACCAACATATTCTTAACATATTAAGCAATACTTTGGCAAACACATTTAGTCATCAAATATGCCATCTTAAAATTTAAATCAGTTCAAAATTGCCAAACATGATGGCACACTCAAAATTTTATTTGAAGCTTCATTTTATTTACATGATATTTTGCATTATCTAACTTAATATTCTTTAATTTCACTTCTTTATCATTCATAACTCATGATTTCTTTAATATAGAGCACTTATTTTTTCTTGTCTTAGATACTCTCTTACAAACTATATAGTACTTGAATTCCTACAAGTGAAAATGTAGGATCTAATTTGACACATACAATTGAACAAGAATTAAATAATAAAATATATGATTAATAGATACAATACTGTTGCATGGTCCCAAATGTATTAAAATTTTCTTTCTTTTTTGGCTTGACCAAAAATTGATTCAAGAAACTCTTTTAATTAGGCACTCAACCTCTTGACTTAAGTTCATTATAATTAAAATTATTCATCAAACATTACAATGCTTATTACAATAAATGATATACAAATTTCATAAATGATAATACAATAAATAATGAAAATTATTTTTAAATAAATAAGAATGGAAATGATTCTGAGATGATAATACTATATTTTTTGTACTTACTCCCATATCATCTTTTCAATTTCTATATTGCTTTTTGAATTCACTCTTATGGTAAATATAAAAAAATAAAAACATTGCAATAGCCTCTACGATGCATACCCAATAAACATTATGATTACCTGTACCAAAGCCAAATGAAAAAATAGGTAAGAAGTCATCTCACAACTTCTCTTTAAATAGATGGAAATCCATCGCTTCAAAACATTAAGCAAAAACGAAGAAAGGCCCTATCACCGTGGGACTGCAAACCACACTTAACGATGTCGATACGGTGGAAGGAATCGGGCGGTCGTAGGACAAGGCGCGGTGAAAGGCCCCTCTAACCAGCGAGAAGCCAACCAAGGAGAACGGGAAGTGGAACCAAGGGAACGAAGTGAACGCGCCGTGAGAACGAGAAGCTGCCAATACTTTGCGGTCGCGGGAGAAACCCTGGATATATCAATTGGCAACTCGCCCATTTAGTTCGGGTCGCGAGCGGCTCGATAATTTTTGCGCACTATGCCACCAGATCGTGCTGCACTCCGCCATGCACCCGATACCGCCCTCGCGAAATCTTTCACATGAGCCTGGTCTGGCCCGAAATGGTGCAGTAAGGAGAATAGAGTCGGGTTTTTGTTGAGTTGTTGTGCGCCTCGTGGTAGGAGGAGGCATTAGCTATGGAGACTTCGGAGCGGGACCAGGACGGGCGCCCCGACCGGGAGCTCTACGCCCTGCTGCATTTGTCGCCCGAAGCCTCGGACGATGACGTGAAGCGGGCGTACCGGCAGTGGGTGCAGGTTTATCACCCTGACAAGCATCAGACGCCGCAGGTCGTGTTCTTTGCCCTGGATGGGTTTTTGTTGTAATTGAAGTTGTTTTCGCAGCTTCACAGTTGTGTGAATTCTACCTAATTTGGACATAAGTGGATCAGAGTCTATGTAAATTTGAAGAATATTTGAGATTCTGACGTACACGGTCTACCTTGGAATGCTTAAACCTAACTAATTAGACTTTCCTCTGGTAGTGATATGCGGATTGTTTCGTATGGTGCCTGCATTGGTAGTTTGGTTTTTAGGTAGCAATTTTGATGATCTAGGGTTTAGTTTTAATTCGTGTAACCTGCTTCTGTTTTTGCCTACAATGCTCTAGCCTTTGAACTTCGGGTAGACTCCCCGCTTGTATTTTGTATTTGTCCACAGATGCAAGATATTGCTACTCAAAATTTCCGGAAGATTCGTGAGGCATACGAGATTTTGAGCGATGAACGAAAGCGGCAAATTTACGATTTGTATGGAATGGAGGGTTTAACTTCAGGTTTAGAGTTGGGTCCGAAGTTGAAAACAAGAGAGGAGGTTAGGGCTGAGTTCGAACGCCTACAACAGCGTCAGGAGGAGAGGAAGCTGGCAGCTCATGTGCATCACAGAGGATCCATGGCCATGAACTTGTCACTAGTTCAGTTCCTCAAAACTTATGATGCTCCAAGAATCACCGGGTTCGTTTCTCTTGCTTGCTGCTGTGGAATTCTGTATTTTTAGTTGTGAGTGCACATTTGAGTTCACCTAAGCCCTCGTATTGTTGGAAGAAGAAGATACTTGCACGCGCTCTTAAGTCGCTCAAGACTTATTGTTATTGTTGTCTCTGAATTTGAACTCTGAAATTTTCAGTGACAAGTTTTTAGTACCCGTTTGATACAGAATGGCAATGACCACGCAAGTGCAAGCACAGTTATCGAAGAGGGACACTCTTGTGCTAGGTGGTAATATGGCTTTGAGGAAAGGACTAGGTGGGGGCTCCGTGACGATGGTTTTGAGTCGTCAGCTTTCACCAATCTCATCTGTAGAAGTTTTGGCTATGATTGGGCTCCGCTCAGTTTTAAGCGTTCATACTTCAAGGTATTGGTTCTGCTCGATAAGTCTTCGTTTGCTGTATGGTTGAGTAAGGAAGTATGTTTAGGATATTTGTCTTTTTTTTCTGTACCTGTCTCTTTGATTCTAAAGGTAGTGTTCTACGGGTTTGTACTGACGTGGTTGGTATTTGCAGACAACTTTCGGCCCATTCTACGGGAACTTTAGGATTGTCGTTCTCCTTCAGAGACGGTTCACTCACGTTATCAAACACTTGGTCTCGTCAATTGTCAGAGGACACCACTGGCAATGTATGTGTGCTATTCTTCTTTCTTTTCGTTTTTGATTAATGAGTATTTACACACAAGTTGTACTGTTCAGAAACAACGGTTTTGTTGAACAACCTGATTATACTTGCATGAGTCTGGTAGATTATCCCTTCCAATTTGAGATGATGTTTAGTGTGCTGATATAATCATCTGTTCTCAGTCAAGTGTACGTCATGACGGTTTTTAGTTGGACTGGTCATGATTGGAGTGGTGAAATGTGCAGATACAACTAGTTATTGGAGCGGACACTGGAGTTTCAATTGGTTGGCAAAAGCATGGCAAGAAGAACAGTGGTTCAGCTGACGTGAAGGTATGGATATCGGAGACCTTCTTTCTAGTACGATTAGAGGTGTAAGTGCAGCGTGCCATGAGTCGTCATCGTATTACGTTCCGAATCGATTGCACTCGCGTTGGTCAATAGTACTGACTAGTGGCTAATAGAAAGGATGTTGTTGAGTTGGATCAGTCGACGAAAGGTTAAAACAGCACAAAAAGTACGTGATCGTGGTGATGAATCTGTAATGTTACATGAATGAATGACTGGGATGAAGCGATATGACAGAGGTATTGTGTGAATTGCTGGTTGTGAAGATAGGGCCTACCACCTTTGGAGTATCTGGGCAATACATACGGCAATTCTCATCCAAGTCCCAAGGTCGAGTCACTGGCAAACTTGGAAGGTTGGTACCATTTCATGATGGTGTTGTCACATGCTGAATGTTGAAAATCTGTAATGTTCCATGCAGAGTTGAATGGAATATGAAGAGAATGCTGCCAATTCCTCTAACGACCAGCTTCTATCTACAATGAGCAATTGAATGTTGTTTGGAGTGATTAGTTCGATCTCTTATCGGATAGTAGTAAAGTACTTGCTAATTTTTTAATCGTCCGTGGGTGGTCCAGCACCGGAGTAGAGATTGAGTTGGGTGGAGAGAGGAAACTTTCAGAACACAGTTCAGCTGCCATGTTCTGCGTGCTTGGGTTACAGGTATTTCTAACTGATTCTGTATACTGAGTGTACCAGGGTCTTAATCTGGTAGCTTTAACAACAGTGTGGTGTATGTAACATATTTCATCGGTACGTTTGAAATGGCAGAACGTTTGGGAAGGGGGGCGGGGTGTGTGATGTTGAAGAAGCATTTGTGTTGCTTTTGTGCGTCGTGAGGAATTTTGATTTGGTGTAGAGAGGGAGTAGTTCAAGTAAGCCATGTTAGTCTGAAAAAGTGATCTTATGTTTTGTGCTCATTTGGCTGCTTGCAATATGTGAATACTCTCTCTTGGACCTGACGAGATCTGTTTTTAACTTTCTTAGGGTGTATCTTGGAAAATTCGATTCACTCGAGGAGGCCAGAAGTTCATTATTCCTGTAAGTGGTATTTTTAGTTTGCAAATATGTGGATGTTAAATATGTTCATGTTGTTGGTGAATGTAGTTCTTACATTTTTTGGCTAGTTGTACTTGTCTGCTTGTGAGAACTTGACTATCATCGTCGTTCTTGGTCTTTTGCAATGATCGCGTGCAGGAGCTGCCTTTGAAAACATTGATTTTAGTTTTGAAGGCTTGAGTTTAGAGCATTAATATTGACGGTTAACTATCCATGTGTCCAGATAACGCTCTGCACAACATTGAATCCATTTATAGCTACTGGAGCTTTAATTATACCATCATCTATCTATGCTATTCTTAAGGTAAATAATTCATAGTCAATATTGTTTGATCTCCTAAATATCTATACCCTTTAATATGTGAAGAAGGGTTTAGCTGCTACTTTTGGTGTTTTTCGTAGTTTTATATACTTCTGATTTCGAATTTGGTATGTACTCATGCATAGTGAAATTGCATGTTTCATTTTGCAACGTAGACTTTTATATTTAAACCGTACAACCTCCGGAGGAATAGACGGAAGAGCCTGGAACTACGACGCACAACCTATGCACAGGTTAGTTTGATCTTATTTCGCCGTAGGTATTTCTTGTATTTAGAATTAATGACCTCTTTTCATAACCACATACAGCAGAATTTGCAGTTATTAGTGCCTTGTCTTGTCTAGGCTGATTCACAATGTTTTCTTCTACCTTTAGGTTGAAGCATCGTTGAGCCCTTGGGGAGTTCATCTGAAAACGCTGATTTCGTACCTCATTTTCCTTTAATGAGTTCACTTATTTTCTCTCTTGCAGGTTATGGAGGCAAGGGCATCCTCAGAAAAGGCACAGTTGTTATTAAAGAATGTTGCAGAAAGGAAGAAACAGAAACAAGCAAAACGGCAAGGGTTGGTCATTTTGTCAGCTACATATGGCGATATTAAGGCATATGAACGTGGATTAAAACGTGTGGACGAAGATGCGAGTAATGAAGATGATGATGCGGATCTTCCTCCTCCATATTTAGATGTTACAATACCTATACAATTCTTAGTCGATGATTTTGGGCAGCTTCGGGTATATGAATGTCAAGCATATTCTGTTGATGATTTCGCCCTTTCATTTCGTATCACTCAATTTGTGATATTGTGTGGTAGTTTTTTTTTAATAGCTTCTATGTTAAGCTACGAATTTCTGTTTAGAGCCTTTCAATTTAGAACGAGGTTTGTCTGGCTTTTTTGAAGTTTTTGACATCTAGATCTCAATTTGTGCTATTATTTAACTTTACATCTAAACTAAGTACTTAAGTCATACAATTTTGGTGCTTCAACAGCTGCATGACGGAGTAAAAAAGGCTGGTCTTATGGGCTTTTGTGACCCATGCCCAGGTGAAGCGAAACAGTTGAAGGTGGCATATAGCTATTTAGGTCACCAATATGAGGTAGGGATTTGCTGTTTGGTATTATAACATCGTAGAATATGTGAAGCAGAACCTTGCGATCTATGTTTGAATCCTTTGTTTGAACCTTTTCCTCCTGTGACTTCACCATTATAATGAAAAATTTGCTCCTCATTTTTGGTTTGGTGTTCAGAAGTTTAGCACGCTTGAAATGTAGTATAATCTTCAGCATCGATCAGTGTCACATAGACATTCTTGTGACATGTTGCATTGGCGAATGCAGGTTGTGGTTGGAGACTATGATGAGATGCGGATACCACAAGAAACACATAGGCTACAACGTTCTGTTTCGGAGAACCTTGATCAAGTGGATTAACTATGCTTCACTTTTTCCTTGTCATTTGTCATGTTTCAATGAGTTGGGTAATGCAGCGTACAAATTCCATTGTGGTTGAACTACATCATTTATTCTCGAGAAGGAAGCTCCATCTTTGTCACGGATATGGGTAGCCTTCTTGAAGGTGAATAACCAATCATCTACGCAACAAGCATACAGTTTTGTAATGTATCTTGTGATATTAAGATTGGCTGTCCATCATACAAGCAAGAGCTGTATGTTCTGTTGTGGGAATTCCCTTGATTACTTGGGTAGAATTTTCGGTTTCTCTGGGATCTCACCCTTAGATATGAGTTTTGTAGGCAGTCAGCTACAGCTTGTCGTCCATAGCTCAAGTTGTGTCCTGAATTGACTGTAAGTTATGATGTTCCCGTTTATATCGGAACATGGAAAGAAGTTGCACACCCGCTACTCTATGTCATGTTTCCTTTGTTGCAGATAGCACCGGCAGAAACCATTCTCCCAACCAATGAATCTTTGTGACCAATATACTCTTTGTTTTTAATTTTAATTTTTATTTTTATTTTTATTTTCGTTTTAGGACGGTTTCTAATAGTGGGAAGTGTTCAATAACATGAATTTATTGCCCTTCAATAAACTCCAACCTGTGTTTGGTAAATCTTTATCTGTTTTGTTCATTTCAGAGTTCATGCTGCCCTGTGAGAGGACACAACACTTTGTTGCAGGAACCTCAATTGTTATTTCATTTTCTATTTTTTCACATTAATCCTCAAGTCGTGAACTTTTTAATGATATTATTGAGTCTGCGAAAACATCTTCCACGCTTCTTTGTTCTGAAGCGGTTACATTGGTTAAATTGTGCATGGGCTGTTGTATTCATTTTTCTATAGCTCTTAGCGTCTAACTAGTAAGAAGCGAGAGTTAGCCTTCCTGATACTTCGTTTGAAAATTCATAAATAACAGCGATCATCTTGGTTGTGACACAGCAGACTCGGTTAGTGTCCACAATGGTGTGAATAATGCTCCTATAGCCCTGCCAGGTGCCTGCGATTGGGACTCCGGCCGCAACTGGTAGGGAAGATCAAATTAATGTTGTGCTTAACGTACTCGGAGGTCCATCTTACAGAATTGCTTTAGATACTGTATCTTCTGAAGTCAGCTTCGTAAAAATATGTATTTTCGCTTTTAAATTGGCAAGCATGAGTAAATGAATAAGCACAGAAATTGTGACAATGAAATGGGTATTGATTGCAAACTTCATGAACAATCGACATGAAGGATATTCATGCTGGTTTTCCAAAGTATGAAGTTAGGATTGTTGGATTCTAGTTTTCATGTCTTCAATGATGGCATGTCATTTGTTTCATCTCTTGCTCCAGGATACATTGGTGATGTAGACTTATAAATGTAATGTTGTCAAGGATGCTTACCACAATGTATGGTATGTTTTTTCTGAACATGGTTTATCTGAATTGTTGACTACAGTTCTGTTCAGCTGGTCTGAGTGTGATGTTATTTTTGCTATTTAATTCTTTTGCATCCCAATATTCAAATTTAAGAATATGTGATGTTTAAATAAAAAAAACATCTACATTTTTTTATTTTCAAAAAAGAATTTCCGTATAATATCATTTGGTACTAATCTTAATTGTATATATATATATATATATATATATATATACACATCCCCTAGTATATGAATCTATCAAAGTTCACGACAAAACTAATGATGATTAAAGGCATTCTAATTTATTTTATAAAATTCAAAAATAATCATTTAAAAAAACACTTAAATTTATACCAATCAATCAATTAGTTCTTCATTAGTTTAATAAATACCACTTCTTTATTGCTATTATGTTGTTGTTACTTGCAAACTTTAGTAATATAGTTCAATAGAATTGATATTGATATGAATGTATGTGTATATGGTTGAATATATAATGTACCCAAAAAATATAAATAAACTACAATATGAAGTTGGTGTTAGACACTATTATAATAGTATTTTCTTGTTTCTTCTCCTCAAATAATGCTTTCTTTTTTAAGATGCTCTTTCTCTTGCATTGACAATCTTTCAACATCACTAAATGCTTTAGAATAATCTCTTTGTTCCTCTAATAATGATTTTTGTTTATAACCTACATAATACAAATTCTAGCATGGAATAAAAAACATACAAGCAAATTATGTTTTAATTTAGTTACTTTGTTATATCTAGTACTAAGTATAACCAAGGTTTTATCATATATCTTGAGTAGGGAAGAGTTGGATTGTAGGTGTTTTCCAAGTTTCTTTTTGACAAATATCTAAGTTTTTATTTTTTATTTTTTTATTATAAGACCTTGCTAAATAATGCTTATAGTATGGATTATAGTCCATACTTCATTTTCAGAGATAAACTTATTTCTCTCAATTCAAATAATCCATAAACAAGTTTGTTTAACAAGGATTGGATCTTATAAAAACATTTGAATCTTGACAAAAGAGTTTTTGCAAAGAAAGCTTTTTACCAAGTTAAGGATTTTTAAGGACCTCAATTCTAAAAATTGGTTATTAGTTTGTATAATAGAGAAGTGACCTAATGCCAAATGTATCATACTTGATGATAATTTCAAGATTGGTGGACAATAGATTCATACATTTAGAATTGATATATATATATTATAATAAATATTAATATTAATATTTATTTTATTTTATTTTTTATTTTTTGAAGTATTAACCTCTAAACCTTTATGTTATATGAGCCAATTGAATATAGCTTCTTTGTGGGAACTAGGGTTGGATCAAGTGTCATTTCAATCAAATAATAAGTATTAACTAAGAAAAAAAATTCATTTTTGTGCCACTAATTTAGTAATAAAGATATTAATTTAATTTTTTTTTTAATTTAGAAAATTAAGTCAAGTATTTTACTAATTGTTCAAAAATATGATGAAGAAAAAAAGGTCAATTCACTAATTAGACTATAGAAGAAATCAATGCCAAAGATTCTTTTTCTTGTTGGTTTTGTTTTTGAAAAAACTCTAATTATTTTCAAGAAATCATCTACTTAATTTTCATTTTCATGTATATCTTGCTCAATCAAAAGTTCTTTATCAAAGTAGAGGATTCTAGATTAAATACCTACTAAAAAAAATAGTATTTTTGTAGGACAAGGTAGAATAAACTATTTATTCTCTTCCACTTCAACATATTCTTAAGGAAGTTAGAATGCCACACTAAAAAGAAGTTTAGATCCCAATTTAATTTAATTCAGTCATTAGAATTTGATAGGACATTATCGTAATGAATTATATAATTTTAAAAGGTCAAAAAATAAATGTGGAAGAAATCCCTGATTGAGTTTTAAAGTAGTGGAATATAGAATGTGCTATGTAGATATTGTTTTTTAATAGTAAGTAGAGACATTGGCCCTTTAAAGAGGTTTTTAACTAAATAAAGATCTTTTGATTAAAAAATTGCAGCTTGATGGGATTCTAAGTATATGTCAATTAAAAATAAATTGAAGATTCTATCATAAGAAATAATTCTATATGTTATTAAAAGAAGTAGGAGAATTAAGCCAAAGAAACTTATACATATCTATCCAAAATTTTCTCAAGTTTTTGACACTTTAGACCCTATAATCTAATTAAGTTTTGAAATGAGATATCAAATCAAATTTAGTACCTAAATTATAGAAGTTATTGATTTAATATTTATTAATTAATTTCTATAAAACTATTAAATACTTATTTGGCTTGCTTAAAGAGTCATTAATATCTATTTGGATAAAGAGGCTTTAGTAATAACTTTTAGTTTCATAATAGCAAAGCCACCTTCTCTACAAACTTCATAACAAATAACTTACGTCACTTTGAATCAAGTTAAAGAAGTAGTGTTTTCTAAAATTTATTTTAATTATTAATGTAATCTTACAAATGGCCTTTACATAGCCAACTAGTGTGGCTAAAAAGAAATAAAATGAGAAAGATAAATTGTTATTTGTAATAATAGCTCTACTTACTACATTTATTTTGGTAGAACACCAATAGTTTAGTTTTCTTATCATTCTATTGATACAAAATTGACTAACGTCTTATATGTTTAAATAAATACCAAAAGAGGTTCTAAAAAACCTGTTATTATTATTATTATTATTATTATTATTAGACATTGATGCCTATTCAAATTAAGTTTGACAAAGAAAAATTGATTGTTTTAAAAAATTGCCATTAGAAAGCAAATTTGGACCAATTTATTTTAGGACCAAAAGCCAAATTGATTTGCTTGATTACATTCACCAAATAGAGAACATTAATTTTTTCTCTATAGATTGTAGTATTGGAATCATTAGCATATTGGCTAATGACTTATTCATAAAAATTCTAAGAAATAGAAATATCTTATAGATGGTGTTGTTAGACTACATACTAAATAGTAATATCAAGAACTTTACTAACCAAGATAAAGAACTAAGATGCCAAAAGACAATCTTATATCAAATATCTTTCTAAAAGCTCTATTAAGATGTATTATTTTGCTTGCATCTTAAAAGCTAATATTAATCATATAAATAAAATAGTTTTTAAAAACAAGTAGTTATGATGATTTAAACATAAAGTTCTAATTAATTTCATCATAGCTTTTAGAAAAATATTTTTTTAATAAAAAAAAAAGAATAATTTGAAGTTTTGGCCTAATTTATGATCTTTTGGATAATTAACATATTATCGAAGATAAATATCAATAGAAGAAAAATAATTTAGTTGGCATGGATATCTTCTTTGAAAATTAACTTGAGTAGTCATTGGATTGGTTTAAGATGCATTTAATAAGATGATAGACTCTAGTTGCTTAATTTTATTTTTTCAGTTCTTTTATGAGATTTTATTTTTCTTTTTATAATATATTATATGAATCAAATTGTAGCTAGAGCATAGTTAAGTATAGAAATATAATCATTATTAATAATGTGTTAGAAGGTTTAAAAAAATTCCATATCTATTCTATTTGAAATAGTTGTTTTGCTTTTTGCCATGCCATTAACAAGTGCTTTTTATTTGTACATATTAAGTGGCTTAAATAGGTCCTTGTTCATACTCTTTGTGACCTTAGATGAAATATTATTAAATATTATAGTTCACGTTCCTTCAAATTTTAAAAATATATATAAATATATATATATATAAATATATATATATATAAATATATATATATATATATATATATATAAATATATATATATATATATATATTAGAATATAAATCAAAACAATTTTTTTTTGTCTTTAAGGTCTCTTTGTACGTCACTTTGAGGATTTTAGAGTTTTGTGATAATAACTTAAGAATGATAATTTCTAATCATAATTTAAAAAATATTGTTAATACTATTTTTAATTTATTTTGATTTAATCCAAGCACATATTGATTTCTTTTCTTATTGCCAAAATTTAAGTTATTTAAATAATATTTTTACTTACTTAAGTTGAGCTTGAAGACCAACGTCTTAAATAGACCTTTTGTAGAAATTTTGTAGTTGATCTTGTAATTTGATGTGCCATCTTGGCTTCAAATGTGCTTATTTTTTAC